ATTAGCATAGCAAACTAGCACAATTAAATAAATTTTGTACGCCAGATTCTGGTGAAAAATGTGAACAATATTTAAATATTATATACCATCCTTTATACTATTTTTCAAACAAAATAAAGCTATTTGTATTTGTATTTTGTGTATATTCGACAATTCTAAACCGATTTTGATAAATGTCTTCGCATCCGATTATTTACTTATAAACTTGTATATAAATACTATTGTTATATTATAAAGAGAAAAGACTTTCTGTATTATAAACAAATAGTTTATTATGAATAAACTGAAAAACTACTTAACCTATTTTAAAAACTCTTTTACTTGTAGAAATTTACATTATCAGCAAGTAACATAGGCTATATGTATTATTTTCGAACATTTTATTTACTCGTCCATAGTTGGGTTAGATTACTAGTCTTATATAAACGTCATTTTGTCATGATAGAAATGGTCGTTTTTGTTTTATAACAAAATCTAAAATAATCTATAACACTTTTAGTCTGACTGTAAATGTCATCTTTAGAACTAAATCATTGGTCCCTGAGGGGCCATGACTACTAGAAATGGCGTTTTTGTTTTAAAACAAAATCTAAAATAATATATAACACTTTTAGTCTGACTGTAAATGTCATCTTTAGAAGGAAGCATGACTCAGGAGGAGTTAGTTTCACTAGTTTATAAATCATCATTACAATACTGTTACTTACTTATTGGTTATTATTACATTGGTGACAATTTAATCAGAGAATGCTGGACTGCGATGTGAGGTTCCAAGATCAATTCTCAGCATAAACATCAAAATTTTTCAAATTTATTTCTAAAATTATTTTATTTAACTATTTTTAAAACAAGCTAGTGAATGGGCACATTGATTCTTCTAATCTACTAAGCCAGGTAAATTTTAATATTCCACATAAATTGGCTAGGCCAAGTAGATATCTTCTATTTAATACAAAACGTTTCAGAACAAATCTAGGCCATTTCTCAGCTATTAACAGAATGCAGTTACAGTATAGTCAGTTGTCACGATTGCCTAATAATATTAACACGACCTTTAACAAATACAAATCTATTTTGTATAAATTCTACAGTTTAATTTAATCAGCTTAATAACAGCATGGCATGTATCTTCGTACATATGTATAGATAGTGTACAAATATTTCAAATCCAAAGTATTACTGTAGTCTATTTATTGTATACCTAGTACTGTAGTTTTATCATTTTTCATCCTAATAATTATATATAATATAATATAATATAATGTCGTGGTGACCTGTAATTATGGCAGCATTTTATAATGTAACCATATTATCATATATTTTAAGTAGATATAAATGTAAGCTTTTTTGGTTGTCCTTAAAAAAAATACTATTGTTACATGCTTTTTAATTCGCAGGGTATGCAAAGCTGTTGCCCGATAAGCTATATACGAATAAGAAACCTTAATTTACAAGGAAGGTACCCAAAAACTTTTATTACAAGAGAAAAAGAGATGAACACGTTCGCAACTCATCTGTATCAAATTTTGCTGCAAATTTGTGATTTTTAATAGTACATCTCCCATAATGATTGCATTCATTATTACTCCATATTGACAAATCTGTACTGATATTTAACGCCTTGCACCTCTAGTGGATAGTAACTCGAACTTCCATACAAAAATCGAGGGAACGTGAACATTATAACCACAACACGAATGTTTGGTCATATCATTCTAATATCATATAACTTAATTCAAATACATTCAGCTACTTAATAATTGAATAACAAACACACTTATTTAAAAAGTTTTATATTTATAAATGGGATGCATGTAAGGTCTCAAGCCAAGTGTATAATGTCTCTAGTCGACAATCACTCAGCAATACTAGTGTGTGAAAACATTTTAGAGAAAATACGATGACCTAGGGAAAATGTTAAGGTAAGTATTCCTTAAACACTATATTTATGTTAGTTTTATTACATATTTATTCACAATATCTTCCTCAATATAGATTATTCATATATAGGCCACTCAAGATGACAAACAAGCTGACGGTTCACCTGATCGAAAGTGGTAACCATCGACTCTATACAGAAAATATTTAGTATTATGATAAATATAAAAATAAGTTAGTTTGTTTGTTACTTTATAAAGCCTTAACGGTTTAATCGAACTCTTTGAAATTTAGTATACACGTACTACATGGGATAAAGAATATAGGTTCCTTTTTATCCCGGTCAGTAAACATATCCAGGTTACGAGAACGAAGTCGCGGGCAAAAGCTAGTATTAATTAAAATACCTCCTTTTGAAAATCACTTAAAAATAGTTTTTATTTAAATAATATTATTTTATAAAAACTTAAGCGTTTAAAAAGAAAACCTATTTTATTAAGTAAACTATAATTTTTTTAGGATGTACTTCCCGATGTTCATTTGGTATACTAAATTGGATAGAATAAAGAAACGTTAATTGGCAAAATTTTGTACCTACTTACAGTTTGAAAACATTAATTCGATTTGTACGTTCCCAATTTCCCAACATGGCCGCCACTCGCATATGCTGTGGCTTTAATTGCCGCAGCGCTGGTATTCTGTGGAAGTCACGTATAACATCACGGTGGAGATAATTAGTTTAATTATCCGTAAATCGGAGAAATATTTTGATCAGAGTAAAACTTAACAAATAAGTAAATATTACTATAATACTGGTTTCTTATAATTGCCATTGAGAACACACAAGATCCCTGAACACACTTTTATATTTCGAACATTATAATTAACAATTGAAATAAAAAGGGCGCGATGTTCGAAATTTGAAAGTAGCTTTTTAAATACGTAACTTTTTTTGTAAACGTCAAATTTTACACGCAACAGAATAAAGCCGTTTTAATTTTATCGAAACCACTTGATTTATGTCCTTTATATTTACCACAAGCATACAACGGAACGCTCTTATGACCCGTATGATTACGAGCGGAATATATGGTCCGCGGTTATAATTAAATATCGCCCTTATTACGACTTAATGGTTTTCCGCTCGAAGCATTCCTTCCTAAAATCATGACATTATTTCATTTTTATCGCATCCACATAATCCAATTTGCTATATTCTTTAAAGGCCATTTAAAAACAAATAGGCACACTTATTTACGGTAAAGCCGCGTATCGGTAAATCAAATTCGTGACATAATTTAAGCACCAAAGTGGCTAAAGCGTAAGTTTGAACAGGATTAAATTTAGAAATTTATTAAGTAAGAATTTGAATAATAACTGTCGAGCGACATACTGTATTGTTATTAATTATTTCGGCTTTATTCACATTTTAAATTGTACACAGCTGTGCCGGGAGCAGCACAGCCTAAACAGCAAGCTGTTTGTTGCTGCTGCTCGCGCCACAACCGTGAACAGCACTTATAAATGAAGGCTCCTATTGAGCTCGAAACTAGTTAGGGATCCCTGAATTTAAAACGTGTATAAAACTGACATAAATAATTACAAGTAAAATAACTTTACTACTGCTTTATTTAAATACTCGGAAATTATTTCCAGATTGAACTTAAAACACCGATTTCTTGTCAGTTTAAATTTACAGCTGACTCTTCGGTGCATGTAAACTTTATTAACAAAATCAATTATCGTGACAAAGAGAGGCAGCCTAGTTAAATACCCTGGTTATATTTCGCCGTATTCTACCTTTACCATAACAATAACAGTCAAATAACTTCATCAGAGATTACACCCGCAAGTAAGCATAGTTGGTCTTACGAAAAAATATTTATAAAGCCTATTTACCTAAATAGTGTTTAACAATGCTCTATTTATGCGATATTATATTATTGACTCAGTATAATAATTTATTTATAATATTGTGCCCAAAAACGTAGAATGAGACACATAAAATCTATAGATTACTAGCGGCCCGGTACGTGCTTCGCTACGTATAAAGTGAAATAATAAAAAAAAAAAAAATTTAACATTAAATTCATTTATTCAAATAAAAAAAAACTGTCAACACAGAAAAAAGTTTCAATTTGACAGCACAATCCCCATCTTAAAAAAGTTTGAATTTGACTCAAAAATCTCCATTAACAAAATGATCCGCCATTTATTGAATTCATTTGTTACAAAAAATGTGATAAACGAAGAACCGCTTGACCGATTTTGTGCAAACTTCACATAAACTATCTACTAAATAGTCTGAACAAAGCCTAAACATTTGATTTAAATAGGTGAGCCCGTTCTTGAGTTATAAAATTACAATGAATTATTGTATATATATATATACACATATATATATATATATATATATATAGATTACAATAAAACTAATTATGTACTTTAAATTTTTATACAAACCTTTATTTTGAAGAACATAGACATTCCTTTGTTTAAACATAAATAGATGTAAAGCAGGCTTTTGTAGCAAAACATGTGAACCTAAATTGAACAATTATGTATTGAATTGTCTATCGATTTTTTTTTTGTAAATATGGATTATGTATGTTAAAGGTATTCATAACAGACGTCTCAGCTTACGAGTGTTTTGTTTATTTTATAATGTGTACATTTATTTTATAATATCCTAATAAGTAATCCGGCCCGGCTTTACATGGATAGACAGAATTTTCGAAAGTAATATATCACGTAGGGGAAGGCCGGGCAATGTGGATACCTTAAGGTATTTAAGGTTATAGCAGAAAAGATATAGAATACAAAAACAAAATAATTATCACAAACCAGTCTTTATTTATTGCTCTTACAAATACGAACATCAGTTACCATTAATATTTAAACAATAATCAACTGCAAATAAAATTAAAAAAAGTACGAAAGTATTCGCTTTGCCCGGTACCCCGGGTAAAGCGGACACAGTACTTGGGCAAAGTGAATACCCATATTAAATCTCTGAAAACATACAAATAACTTTGATAAATTAAAAAAAAACTTAAATAATAAAAACTTAAATTGCTTAGTGTAATTGAATAACAAACTAACTAGACTATAAAATTAAAAAATTAAGATTGGCAATTGTCACAGGTATATCCCTGAGTGCCATCAAAAGCAGAACAATCTTCGTGACACCATTGATGACAAATATCACATTGAATCCAATTTTCAATTGGTTTACCGTCTTCTTCAATATATATTTCACCGCAAAAAAAGCATAAAATATCCTTAAATTCTTTTATTTTCTTTGGCTGTTTAATCTTTTTAGCAGGCTTTTTGTCTTTGTCAGTCTTTGTATTAGTTTTCTTAGAAACATTTTTTGACTTACCATTCAGTCTTTTAGTAACATTCTTAACTTTATTTTTGTCATATTTCTGCTTTTGATCTTTCTTGATCGGGGTACTGGTTAATATTTCCGATTTTTGTAATTTCCGTTTACGCGTGGTCATTGGTTTGGCAGGATTTGGAATAGGTCTTAACACTAAGGGACTGCAGTGGGAGGCTGAGCATCCCGGTTTCGGAACAGGTGAGTTGTCATGGCTAGTATTTTGTTGAATATTTATTTCAGTCTCTGGGAGCACTGTGTCACTTCTCTGAACAGCTATAGCTGGCCCAAAAGCGGAAATAATTCGGCAACATCCAGGTTCTGATTCAGGTGTACATCCGTCGCTACGAATTTTTTCAGGCGTGTTAACAATGGGCACAACAAAGTCTTGAAACTCACAAGAGGGAGTTCTGTTTCGAGATGGAAATATTTCTGATAGAGGATCTACTGAATTTGATGGGATCTGTTCTTGAAGAAGTGAAGGGGAAGGAGTTGAAGAAGTTTCTACAAAAGGTCTGGGAATATCGATCGTTTCTAGTGAGTTTGTACTTTCTGTGCCAATATTAATATTAGACGTGCCTGCAATCACAGCGGCGGGTTCGTATATATATTTATTCACACACACAGCTACTGCGCTTTTCAGAAAATATATATATATTTATATATATCAAAGTAAGTTTTATATATATATATAGTTGTGTATATATATATATATATATATATATAATAATATATATATCGAACATGTTCCACAAAAAAATGCATCCAATCAAAGAACACCTCACCTGAAGTCCAGCCATTTGGAGTACAGGTTCCTTGAGTGCCGGGAGGCGCACCATCAAGTAGTCTGGGTTGCATCTTTTTTCTGGCGAAAATTAAGAATGGTGGGAGAAATGAACCAGCGGCATTACAACAACCTATGACAGTCGTTAATTGACCACGTTCTGCACTGGCGATTATGCCCACTTGTTTCTTTCCTTTCGTTGATAGCACTTTAGGCGGCTTATTTGTGGTTGTAGATATACCAGTTTCATCCATGTTATATAATCTAGATGCATCAATATCATATTTTACTGTTAAAACTTCAAGGTTTTCATAAAAACGTTCAACTTCATGTCTGTTAAATCCTTTTGCCCTTGCAACCGATGTTGCCTCTGGAGTCCTGAGGGATATTTGATCGTGACGAGACAAAAATGACGATAACCAATCATCTCCAGCTTTTTCGTACTTGTCCCAGTTATTCGGATAGTTCAAATTATTTTTCTTGGCGTAGATGTACGCTAAATTTTTAAATTCATTTCGAGTCAAGCCAAAAAATACAGAATCCATATCTTTGAGATATGTCACCAACTCTATTTCCTGCTCTTCAGTGAAAACAGGACGAAATCGACCAAGTTTTGAAGCAGCTATGCCGGTTTTTACATGCCTATACAAGGTTGCATAAGCCAAACCATACTTTTTAGCTGTACTTTTTATTGATTCTCCAGCTTTGCATAAATTAATAGCTGTTTGCATAGCATTTTCATCCCACGTCCCTTGCTCAGTTTTTTTTTTATATTTATTCACCATCTGAAACAAATAAAATACAGTTTTAGATAATAAATGACCAATAAGAAAGGGCGGGCAAAGTGGATAACATGTCCACTTTGCCCTATTCACTTTGCCCGACTAGATAAGTTTTGAGGTTAACACATTTCATACAAAAACTAATAATTCTGACTTTCTGTTAAATATATCATAAAAATCTACTTTGATATGCTACCGAATTAAGACATTTCTAAAAATCAAGAACTAGTAATACAGGAGAATTGATCAATGTACTTACCGCGTAAAATCAATCTTTTATTTACGAAAACACAAATCTTCACTCCGCGGATGAGATGCGACACGGCCTCTCGCTTCGATGTTTGCCGCGTGCTAAACCAAGATGGCCGAACGTAACATTGCTGGCGTGTTGAATTAACTACTAATAATTTAGGAGTAGTGGGGAGTATTCGCTTTGCCCGGGGTATTCACTTTGCCCGGCCTTCCCCTATATTACTCGCTGATAATGTAGCTTTCTATAGGTGAAAGAATTTTAAAAATCGATTGAGTAGTTTTTGAGTTTATCTGTTAAAACTAACAATCAAATATTTCAGCATATACGGTGTTACCATTCCATTATCATCATTTTTGAATAATCTACTATAGTGAAACCTCAAGGGCCTCATTATATTTGTAGACCATACAGGTCTATTGTGTTTGAAGGGTGGGATATGGCAGTGAATTTACAGGGTACAGAGGAATAACACCTCAGTCCTCAGAAATGGCAACGCATGGGTGAAACAGTATATTCTATTATGTCCATGGTACTGCTCATGTCTATAGACGACGGTTACCACTTTCCATCAAGTGGGCCATCAGCTTGTTTGTCATTCTAAGTTGCATAAAAAAAAATGCCGTAAGAATTTAAAGTTGCTTAGGCATTAGGCAAACTTGATGAATCAATTTCTATATTAATACAATACCCAGCAACGATTTCACTGTGCCAATTTTGAATAGTTATGCCCCGTATATTTTTGATGCCAGATCTAGTTCCTTACAACTATTGACGTAAATAATTCTACAAAAATTCCAGAAACATTTGTTCCACAATTAAATGATGTACCGACAAAGACTAAAAAATAAAATTTTAAAAAAAGAATTCTAAAAATAATGCATTGTTTTCTACTTTTTTCTTCTTTTGCACGAAGTACGCTCATGGCTGTTACGCGCACGACTTCACTGTTCTCGCCCTCTCGCTCAGGTAAAAGGACGGTGGCTCGACCTAAAAAGACAAAAGGCTTTTTTTCACAGGAAAATGTCATCATATTTTTATCAATATTCTTTATCTAAACAGCTAAAAGCAACACTAGGTATACTGAATATTAAAAAATATTGCTTTAGTACCCAATTGTTTGTAAGAAAATTATTGTTATCTAATTTGAAATGATTTGTATAGGTTTAAATCCTCAACAAGTAAATAAGTACATATTTATAATAAAAAAAAAAATCTAAATAAATCTAACTTATCATTCATATTTTTTTTAAATAAAATATGTAAATAATAAAATACGAGTAGTAATATGAATTCCAAAGAGTGGAAAAAATCGTTGACTTTAATCGTGACAATTGGCAGATCCAGAATCTCCTCCTCTTGAAGTCGCTCAGCGAGTACAGTATGACCACAGAATATAATAGGTACATTATATTATAACTAAAAAAAACTTACGTACCTATCTATTATGAAAGGATATTTTCGAAAGTAACAAGATGGCGCTATAGCAATGTACCTTTGCCTTTGTGAATATACGAACTATTTATTTATTATTTTTTGATGACATTACAAAAAATGTTTGGTACAAAAGGCGAACTTAAAACAATAAGCTATAAAACAATCTCTCTCTATATATATATATATATATATATATATATATATATATATATATATATATATATATATATATATATATATATATATATATATATATATATATATATATATATATCCAAAAAAATATATTAAATAAATATACTTTTAAGAAATCCCAATATATAGATATCAGATCGGTATCCATATTACCCTTTGCCTAATAAACCGTGAAAATATTTAAAATTGTTAACTATATTTTTTTAAGCTGACTTAAGTTTTCGACTGTGATTTTAAACTTGGAATTAAAAACGATAACTAATAGCTAAATACTTTCGATATGATCTTATATTCGAAATGAATATCTAGTAAACTCTACGCTATAAGAGTTAAAAGCGACGAAAAAATTTTTCGTCGCTTTAAACTCTGATAGCGTCGCGATAAGTACCGATAGTGTATTTAAAACTAGGCATTAGCTAGGCATAGACATAGTTCCAATATAAGATAATAATAACGATGTTTTATTTATTATGTTTTTCACTATACTATTTTCTCTATGTAATTTAATATAAAGCTCTCGAATTACTTAAATATACAATCATGCTAATATAATATTAAAGTTAAAATGCAAACAAGATTTCAGGGCACATTTGGGATAGAATTACACATTAAGATATGAGAAAAATGCTTCGCTTCAACACAAGTGAATCGTAAGCAAATTACTCTCAAATTACTCAGAGAAAATAAAGAATATGAGACTGTATTAGATTGTAGACGATATACCTACTAGACATTCTTATTAACACGTAATGTTTTCTCTAGAAAACGTTATATTTAGCGAAATATTGTCCTTAGTGATATTATTATAAATGTGAAAGTGTATTTGTAAATATTTTGTAACTAGATGTTATCTTGCTCAAATCCATATATTATCTATTTTGTTTAATTCTGCTACTATTAGTATGCGTGTGACTGCTAACATTTGAGGGTTGACTACTACAATTATTAGTAGAAGTTCTACCACCTTCCATATTAGTCATCAGTCTCTGACAGTTATTCAGTCCACGCACATTTTACACCATGTGATTGGATTGCATAAAATGGGTTATTCGCAGTCAGCAGCGATCTACTCGTATTAATTTGCCTGAATATGCTTCGTTTAATGGTAAAACAATTAATCTGAAATATCTATCTACAAAGTATTGGCCAGGAGTAAATCAGATAGATATTTCAGATAAACTTATTATGACCGTTTGAAATCTGATAGTTTCATTTGAGAGTTGTCTTGCAAATTTACACTAAAAACATTAAATTAGATCAACTTTTAGTCCCATGACATACATAAGTAACAAGAATATAACGAAAGAGCTGTGTTTTTGTTGTTTTCGACAATTGTTTTATATTTAAGTATTTTATTATTTGTAACAAACTACGTAGTCCTGGATCCTTTTCGCTTTACTAACGCTATTGAATTACGTATAAAAACATTTTGTATTAACTAAAAATAAAATATGATAATAACTCGTTTTCATCCAAAGAGATCACTTTTAACAATAAGACTGCCAACTATTTTATAGTTTGTTTCAATACCATTTAATGCAAATAAATCAATATTTGGATCGATTATGGACAGTCTGTAGATAATATTAGCACAAATAAAAAAAAAACAATTAATTGTGTAAATGTTTTGATTTATTACTAAAACTTACAAAGCATTCTTGTGATACTTTCAACAAAATTTGGTTTTCTTTACAACAGACTTTAAAAAGAAGCAGATCCTCAATTCTTTTATTACCTCTTGACTCCGTCTAATCTAAACTGATTTGGAAAAATTCTTTTTTCATCCAAAAGGATATACTTACAGGTTTGTCCCATAGAAATTTATCAAAATCGGATGTCGTCGATGATCGTTTAATTTTTAGATCACAATAACTTTTTCCACAATTAAAGTCGGTTTTTTATTTTGTTTAACACAATGTTTAATTAATATGTATTGAAACGATATATTAATGTAATCTATTTCTTTATATATAATTTTTGTTACTGCTATATGTTATACTGTAGTATTTTGGTGATATCTATAAAAAAAAACATCAATCAAACACACCACCTATTGTTTACACTTCTGCCACAGATATACGTAACTGTAGGCAACTCCATTTATATTCTCTGTGTACTTACCATTTGTTATACTAGGTCAAAACGAATTTGACGTCATTCTAGCCTCCACAGACCTATTGTGCTGCTCCCTCAAGACAAGAGGCCACTATAGCCGACATAATTTGCCGTTCTGAAAACTGGGTGTCTAAAATGGTTATTTTGGTGATCCGCAATAGAATTCATATTTAAAATGCACCTATGTTATTAACAGTTTTTTTTTTTTTTTTTTTGAGATTTCATAATCATATGCATTATTATATTAATTATTGGTATTAATTTATATATTTGTTAAGGTTTAATTAGACTAATACAATAAAAAAAAACAGATGAAGTGTTAAATTTTAAAAGCTGGTGAGGTTAGACTGAAAAATAATTTATAAAATTACTAGCTGTATCCCGCGACTTTCCTCGCGAGAATCCTTATTTTTTTATTATTATATCTGAAATATAAAGTATCCTATGTATTAGGTTATAACCTGAAATTTCATTCAAATCTATTCAGTAGAACTTGAAAGAGTATAACATACATTATCCTTATGATCCTAACAAACTTTCACATTTATATTAGTTAGTAGAATTTGCTAATTCACTTGGTTAACAGTCAAAATGCCCACGTAAATAAATATTGAAAAAACTTTTTATCCTTGAGTAATCAACTCTAAAGTTAGCATTCACTCGCTTACTAACTCCAAATCAGTCTTTAAAAGTAACTTGTTGATAAAATCGCAGCCAATATCTCATATCTCCATAGAAAACTGTCAATTAGATATATTGAGAAATATTAATCGTTTTAAGATCTCATAAATTGGCCATTTTATACCCTTGCATCCAATTCAAACACGCGCGTTTTTCAGCTGCCATATTACAATCCTCCATTAAGTTCGCCCGCCTCGCAGACGGGTCCCGTACGTTAGTTTTTGCAGCCTGCCTATCCCTATAAATCTTTGTAAGTGGCTCGTTAGTTGGTCTAGTCAATTCACGTCAAGTTTTCAGTGGAGATTTTTTATTGTGCCTCCATTAATTTAGTGGGCGGTTTGTACATACAGGCGGAAATGAAGAGGTAGGTTTATCATCATAACGCTGCGACGTAAGATAGTAAAAATAATAGAAGAAGTCTACTATAGTCTATTTCAATAGTACTTAATGAAAATATAAACAAACAAATTCAAAATCTAATCATCTTTATTCAAATAAATATTTTAAAAGGCCGGCAGCACGCCTGCAATGCCGCTGGTGTTGTGTGTGATCATGGGCGGCGGTAGTCACTTACCATCAGGTGAGCCGCATGCTCGTTTGCCCCCTGTGTTGTAAAAAAAAATAGACTTGTTTACGAGCCCTTTTAAATTGTCATATTTTATAAATCTACTGCAGAGTTCGGAATGTTGTTATCTGTTGAGAAGAACCCGCAAGACACTCAACAGTTACTCTTTTAAATCTCTGTTAAAATTATATGTATTTATTT